AGCAAAAATCAGGATCACCTGGATGGTGATCAAGAAAGCCCAGATTGCTGAGCTCCCCTTCCAGAGTTTCCAATTTAGTAGGTTTGGGGTGGGACCCAAGAATTGGAACTTTTTTTAAACCAGGTGATGCTGATATTGCTGGGCTGAGGATCCTACTTGGCAAAACACCAAGCTAGGCTAGGGCAATGGTTCTCAAACATCCATGCTCGTAAAATTGCCTGGAGGCTTAAGGGAATAAAGGAACAATAAATGAACCCACAATCGCCCAAGCCTGTGGATTTTCTATCACAAATGTGATTTAGCCTTATTATCAGTATAAATACTTGATTATTCCAAGTAAAAAAAAGAATAAATCTGTAATAACCAGAAATTCTACAAAGTCTGGAAAGTTGTTATAAAAAATACATGTAGAATTAATACAGAATATTTGTAGAGCCAACTACTTAGAGAAATTTTACATTTCTGATTCCCAATTTTCCATTTCGTTGTGACTCAGGTCATGGTATCACCGTGGTGAGCTTGAGCCCTGGGCTGGCCCTGTGCTCAGTGTGGAGTCTGCTTCAGATTCTCTCTCCCTCTCCCCTTGGCTCTCTGTCTCAAATAAATAAATCAAATCTTTAATAAAAAAATGCTGCATATTTAATACATTGTGAAAAAACTTAGTTCTTTAAAAACTGTGTACCAGAGTGCCTTTATCGGTACCACTGATGTAGAAATAGATCATTATCTTTTCCCTTTTTAATACCTTAAGTTCGTAGAGAGGTAAGTGCTTTGAATAATCTTTTCATTTTCATCCCTTTATTGTCAGTGCCTAGTCATAATTATATTTTATGTTTAGAGACCACATTATTAATACTATATATTTTCCAAAAAGCCTATGAAATATGGATCACACTCATCATATTTTGAGTTTATATACCATCTCTAAGAAGTCTCAGATGCTTTGAAAATATTCTTTCATTTATTTTCCCAGCACTATTTTTGAGGAGCAGATGGGTAACTGTCACAGTTGAAAGATTAGATGAGAGAATGCTTGCAAAGAGAACTCAGCACAGGCTTTGGTGCCCAGCCAGTGCTCATTTAGCTACTGCTGTTACTGATACCACGATGACTATTGGCTTTTTGCTGGAACCATGGGCATTACAGTTTCACCATGATGTATACTCTTCTGCAGCCAATATATGAAGTCATCGATTATTGGTCATTCTTTTTCTCCATAGCTGTTCAAGTGGTTATTATCCGAATGTATTTAAATTGGCTATGACAGCAGTTTCTTGGCAAGCTAAGTCAGCAAGACAGAATACCAACTTGGAATTAAAGGAAACGTCCCAGATCGGCACCCAGTCACTGTTAGGTGACGACTTTGCTATAAGAGACTTGATTTTAGATCTTTTATTCTGCGACAACTTGGAAATGTTATCTTGGAGCGTCTCAAATTTAGAGACATCTCCCCATTTGGATGAGGTGTTATCTAATCTCGATGAGATGGGAGTTTCAAGATACTGAGAAAGAGAACAAGTGTGGATGCTATCTTGTGTAACTGTCATTTCATATATTCACGATCAAATGTAATGCTAAGTGGTATTCAGATATTAATTCACATTGCTTCCAGCCCTCTGCCAAAGGTGAATTATTTGCTGGGCATTTAGAATTCCAACCTGACACACTTCTCTGTTATAAAGTGTGCACTGAGGATTTGTCCACAGCTGAGCTCCATGGAGAGGGCAAAGCCACTACTTCAGAGCAGAGGAGAGATATTTGGACTCCTTTTATGGAGGAAAAAGTTGTGGGCCAGGAATGATAAACGATCATCACAACTATTTCATGTCATTTGAGGCATGTGCAGTAGCATTTAATCCCAAATTTCTTATCTTGTTGAAGGTATTACGGACCCCATTTTAAATCTCAGACACATTTAAAAAGCAACCATAGATTTCTAAACAGAGATTCTTTAAGAAATTTTGCAACACTTGCCATCTCCTTTTCCTCTGTTGCAATATGTGTACTACTGCTCCTGAGAAGGGACACTCATTCTTGCAGTGCCATGCTGAAACCCAACGCTCACAACCATGCTCCCATCCGTAACCATGAATAGGACGTACAGTAGACCCTTGAACAACATGGGTTTGAACTGCAGGTCTACTTACATGTAGATTTTTCTAGATAAATAGAGTACAGCACTGTAAATGTATTTTCTCTTGTATGATTTCTTCTTCTTTTTTTAAAAAAAGATTTTATTTATTTATTTGACAAAGACACTGAGAGAAGGAACACAGGCAGGGGGAGTGGGAGAGGGAGAAGCAGGCTCCCGGCTGAGCAGGGAATCCATGTGGGGCTCCATCCCAGGACTCTGGAATCGTGACTTGAGCAGAAGGCAGATGCTTAATGACTGAGCCACCCAGGTGCCCCTCTTCGCATGATTTTCTTTTCTCTCGCTTACTTTATTGTAAGAATGTGTGTAAACAAATAACAAATATGTGTTAACAGTAGGCTATTAGCAGTTAAGTGTTGGGGGAGTCAAAAGTTCTATATAGGTTTTTGACTGTGCTGGGGCTTGGCCCCCCTCACCCCTCGGTTGTTCAAGGGTCAAATAGACAGCATGGAGCCAAAATCTGACAACAAAAAACAGCACTATAGAATCAATTACTAAGTACTATTCAAGTGCATGGGCTTTTCAGGACAAAGGAAGAAAGTTTCCATGTTGCCATTTGAAGATTTAGGACTAGTTATAGCAAATTTCTAAAGCAAGAAGGCGCAGCTACATACAGGTTTCCAAATAGGAACTAGGTTACTTCAAAATCTGCAAATTTGCACACTCTGACCTATTTCAAATTTATACTCCCTTTTGCAAAAGGGATTTGATACATCCTACACTGAAAGGAAGTTAAGTGAAAACAACATCACTGGTTCCTGGGAAAGCAAATACACCGAAAAAGAAAAAAATTCCAGTGGAACACATTTCACTCTTGAGTTTCCCAGCAGCCAAAAGGAAAAGATAAATTTTGAATTTGGAGGCATAAGGAGTGTTTTCCTGTTTGGCAGTCTGCAGTTGTCATTTACTAGCAGGGGGACAGGGATCTTTCTCGTAGTGCATCGTCTTAGATTCCGTCTCCACATTTAAAAAATGTGGGTAGTAAGAATCTGGAAGAATGTTAGGAAGATCCAAAAAGATACTATATATATGAAGGAAAACTCTAAAGCATAATCAGAATGAAAGTGGCTATAATGAAGTTTAAATTACCCAATAAAGAGAAAACTTTTTAAAAAATCATATTATGTTTTATTGATCTTTCTTCCCCCACAGTCTGGAACATGGAGAGGACATAACACATGTATCTGCTGAACCAATGAAAGTAGGAAGGAGGGCAGTGTCCAGATGTTCTCTCCTCAAGCTTGAGCAAATGTTTGGCCAACTTCATTCACTGCTTCAACAAAGAAAAGATGAATATCAGATCCCAAGCAGCCAAGAAGGGCTGCAAAAGGTCTCGTGCATACGGTGGTCCACTCTGAATTCGTGACCACAGTGCTAAAAGGCTTTCGATACTGCTCCGCAAACCTGCTCTGGTTCCAGGACAACTTCCCTACAAGCCTTCCCCAATACCTTCTTCAAGCCTTCCATACTCTCCACCCACTTACTTCTTCACTCTGCTTACCTGAACCTTTAAGAAGTCTTCCCTGGGGGCGCCTGGGTGCCTCAGTGGGTTAAGCCGCTGCCTTCGGCTCAGGTCGTGATCTCAGAGTCCTGGGATCGAGCCCCGCATCGGGCTCTCTGCTC